TCAGGTGGTGTCTTGTTGTTGTTCCATATCTTCTTTGGAGACCTTGGGAGTCATTGCTAGGAGCTGGGAGTCTCTGTTTGTATATAGTAAGCTTTTTATCAAAAAATTTAAATGCCATAGTCATCAGATCTTTGATGGGTTTGAGGACCATTATCTACTAAATATATCTGAGCTAAACAAATCTAGGCCTAATCTTGAAAACATCTCTAAGTTTGGTAACAATAATCAGGCTAGTTTGTTCTCCTGTATATATATTAGTCAAATGCACCTCTCAGGTTCTGTTTTTTTCTTTTTATTTAAATAGAACAGTTTATGCTTTAAACTAGTATCTAGATAGCTGGATGACTAGTATTAACTTGTGTTCCTTAACACAAAGAACATGCAAACTCAGACATTCAAAACCAAACATACATGTGGCCACATTTTCATTCATACCTGCAGAGTAGACAGACATTTTTAAAACTATGACCCTTTGGAGTCTCAATGTAACAGCAGAATAGCAAGAGAAAGAAATCTGAAACATGTTTCATTCTTTTATACACCTCAAGTCACTTTTTTAATCATTATTTAAGCCTTTTTATCCTCAGACCTTTATAACTTGCTTTTACACATTCCAATAACTTGCATTTTACATACTTTCCTTCTTCCCAAAACATTCTTTTTATATTCCCATACCTAAAACCTTTACATCTTAGACCCTACATAAACTTTACTTATACTCAAACCTCACAACTTACTTAAACTTTAAAGTTAGACTTTAAAGTTCCATATTTTTATACCTTAAACTACTTACTCAGACCCCAAATATCACATACTCAAACCCTCATGACATGCTTAAGCTTTTAAATTTTTACATCTTAAACTGCTTCCTCAAACCAAAAAATCATTTATTTAAACTTTTATCTTTATATCTCAGACCTTTATATTTTTATAAAAACATTACATTCTAAAACATTTTTTTTATTTAATACATTGAGCTATCCTTTACTTGGAATTTGATACAGCTTTTTTTTATCTTAACCAACAATAACTTGAAACCAATTCTCTTAAATGATGGCAAGTATTTGTAGCCCATTGAACTCAAATGACCAAAATCCATGTATCTTTGACTGTTAATTCAACATTTCTTTTTCAAGCAATATCAGGAGAGAGAAGGGTTAACAGGAGAAGTTGCTGGCTGGCAGAAGGGACCTTGAAGTTATCACAGTGAAGAACTTGGCTTAGGAAGGAAGGGAGGGGTAGCGGTGCACACAGAGAGTGTCCTTGGCTGCCAGTGTTCCTGATAAAAAGTTTTTGTTAACTCCTCTGACTAAAATCAGATTCTCTGTTCAGTGTTCACATTGTTTTTGTCAATTTCAGGCAGTCCCCATTGCCCTGTCCAGAACTCGCGTCTTTGCCTGCCTGTACGGAGAGCAGGCACCCCCACCCTCGTGAGAGCAGCTAGCTGGCTACAGTCCTGATAGCAAGAGAGCTAGGGAGGGACGGAGGTGGCCCTTGCTATGTCTCTCTCCTTCTCTTCCAGGAAAATAAGGGAGGTTAGTAGACAGAAACAAATAACAGTTACACAAACAATCCAAGTACAGGTACATCAGCACTGAGATGACGGCCTCACTCACAGCTAGCAAGCCCCTCTTGCAGTATGCAAGCCCCACCTGGCAGGAGCGATCTGCTTATTTCAGTTCAGCCGGGGGTAGGGTGGGGAGACCCAGTTCCCTCTGTTGTGGCTTGCACATCCTTCCAGTGGGCTAGGCAAAAATCTAGGGGAGAAGAAAGGGACTGTCCCATAGTGTCCATCACAGTCAAGTCAACAAGGAGAACAATTCAGACATGTACCAGGGGCTTCCACATCCCCCGCGGGGGCTTCCACATCCCTGTCAGTGGCTTCCACATCCCCATTAAACAGACATACACTGGGGGCTTCCACATCCCCACTAGTCAAACATACACCGGGGACTTCCACATCCCTGTCAGGGGCTTCCATATCCCTGCCTCCAGGGCCCGAAATGTCTCCTGAGACCCCCATGATCCTGGCTCACCAATGTGTCTGTTGGCTCCCTGGCACAGGCACTGTCCATTACCGGATCACATCACAGACCTTAGTGTGCCTCAGAAAATGAACATACAGAGTCACACAAAGACAGGGACAGACAAAGACACATAGAAACTTACCAGCTGGTTAGGAACCCCTCAGATCAGGGTCTGGGGGTCATGAAGGATCCAAAACAAGCCCCCAAATGTTGTGGCTCCATTGTGAGACCCCCAAGCAAGACCACCACAGAGCAGATACCAGATACAAAACACACAGGGGTTTATTAATAACAAGCAAACCCAGGCTTGGTCTGTGTCCAACATCCAACACAGCAGGTGGAGGAGGACAGCCCTGAGCTCCCAGGGTGAGGGGTTTTCAAAGGGAAAAACCACAAGCAGGGTGGTACAAGCTTTGGCATCAGATGATTGGGTGAGGGTATATAACTTTTGAATTTACTGGTTGGGGGTTACAGTTATCATTTGGGGGGCAGTCCTGGACAAGTCCCAGGCTTTGTCCTTGAACTGCCATGGGGGCTGGCTGGCCTTGCATGTTCACATTGACCCATGCACATAGCTCTAAGCTGTTGAGGAGTCCCAGACAGTAAACAACTGGCTGAACCTTGAGCAGTTGGAGTACATGCAGAAAAGGAGCTACTGCAAGGACTATGTTTTGTTCATGGGCCTCCCAGAAACTGCTTGCTCAAGCCTCTGAAACTGAAATTGAGGCCTGACCTCTGAGAGAAGACTGAGCAGCCTGTTATGGCATCTACTTGGTCCTTTCATTATGACTGGACCAACAGAAAATGCGAAAGGGGACAGATGAATTGGTCTGCAAGTGGGAAAATGGGCCACATCTACCCTCATTCTGCTCCTGGTTGGAGCTGGTATTGTTGGAGCAACAGCCACAAGAACATTTGCCCTCATAGTCGGTGATAGGAACTTTAGAGAATTAAGTAAACAAGTGGACAAGGACTTAGGAATATTAGAGAACTCTATATTCACACTAGAGAAGCAAGTACACTAGTAGCTGAAATAGTTCTGCAAAATCAAAGAGGCTTACATCTTCTCTTGATGAAACAAGAATTATGTATGGTTTTAGGAGAAACCTGCTATTTCTATGCTTAATAATCAGGTGTAGTTAGGGAAAACTTTTCCATGATCAGGGAAAACCTCAAAGAAAGGGGGGAAAGGAGGCATAGATCAGATCATTGGTATTGGTCTCTGTTTACCTGATCCCTGTGACTGACCACCTTACTGTCAGCATTAGCCGGACCATTAATTCTTGTCCTGATTGGGCTAATGGTAGGACCCTGCATCCTCAACTGCATGACCAACTACATCAGAGAATAAACTTAGTTAAGCTACTTATCCAGGACCAACTATATTCCCCTAGAACAGAATGAGTCAATAATTAGACTCATGCACGTAGAATCAGTCGAGAATGTGATGCAGCAAGACAGTGCAGAGATTCCTCCATCTTGTATTCTTGCTGAGGCCATTCCATGTTTAACTAAAATCTGGTCTCCTTGATGGAGAATCTCATGAAAAACTACCCAACTCTATTCTAGGAACCAAAGATCAGGATGACCTAGCTAACTTAGCTTCTGTTAAACTGCCTCTGTGCAGGAGCCCCTCCAACTAACTGCTAATTTTAAACTTCTGTTAAACTTGCCTGTTTCAAACTGCTTGCTTCTGCAAAGCCCTGCAGCATCTGCCAAATGAAATGCCAGTACATGGTTTCTGCCTTTAAAAACCCTGTGTTCTGGAAACTTGGAGCTATACCCAGGTCCCCAAACACTTGGGTGAGGTCCCAGCTGGCTGGAATAAAGACTTTCAATTGGCTATGTAGTGTGTCTGAGTAGTCATCTCTGGTGAGCAAACTATAACAATTCCACAGATGCCTGAAACCTGTATTATGGGGGATGGAAACAAATGGATTTCTGGTGCTTGCTGGCTGTCAGTTTAACCAAAAGAACATAAGTTCAAGTTCAGGGCATGACTCTGCTTCAAATGAATAAGGAGGAGAGGAATAGAAGATAGCCAACACGGTCCTCTGCCCTCCATGGTATACACGTATACAACACTGTCACCCTTACACATGTGTATATGCTGCATTATTACACACACTAAGTTCAACAAAGCCAGGATGGAGATACACACCTTTAATCCCAGCATCAAGAGGCTAAGGTGGGAAGACTGCTACAAGTTTGAGGCCAATCTGAGATAAAGAGTACATTTTAAGCTAGCCTGAGTTGCACAGTGAGACCTTGTCTCAAAAATCCAAAACATATACATGAAAAACCTTAAAAATTCAAAAAAATAAAATGGGGGCCAACAAAATGGCTCAACAGGTAAAGATGTTTGCTGTCAATGTTAAAGATCTCAATTTGATCCCCTGCGTTTGGTCCCTGGATCCTAATCCCTGTGGTAGAGGGAAAAACAACTCCTTCAGTTTGTCCTCTGATCTCAATATGTGCACTGGAGCTCCCACACCCACACAAAATAAATAAATGTAAAAAAAATTAAGAAAGAATATACCATAGGAGTACCAAGATAATAACCATATTTATTTTTATTGCTACATTGGAAATGAAAATCAAGTGTGAGAAGCTGCAAAAGTGTACAACTTCAGAATGATGGAAAAGCAATGCAGTCATCCATCCTAGGTTAAAACTGGCTTTCACTATATAGGGCACAAGGACTACAAGCACCATGGGTATTAGTGGTAAGATTACTGTCAGCATTTGCCATCTGCAATTTATTCATCAATGAGGAAGTTTAAAAACAAAGGGAATGCCTAGTCCTGATTACCGTTTAACTGGGTACTGATTAACACTTAACTGTCAGGAATAGGTGAGAAGCCATCAGCAATTGTCATAAATCTCTAGAAACACATAGGTTTCCAAAAAGCAAGCCCAAAACCAAGACTGTTAGGCAATGTTGGAGTTTATTCTCCCAAAGAGATCCTCATTTCATGATCTTTTCACAAACTCCTTCTCTTGCTGGATTGCTAGGGGAAAAAAATAGAAAAAAATCATTAGAAGGGATTTTCTTCTCTTTTTTTCTTTCTTTGTTGGTTTTCTTGAAATTAAGTTCAGTTTCTTCTAAAAGATGGCTTTACTAAGTCACTGAAAATGATAAACATGCCTTACATTTAGACTACAAAGACATTAACTACTTATCCTCATAATGGAGGTGTGTGTGTTAGAGCACCTGAAGACCTTACTAAAATCTATATAGTCTCTATATCTACTCTCTAGATTTAAGTGATAGATTTAGAATATTGTTAAAATATTGCTATTTTCCACTGAGTGTTCTAGGAAGTAAGATTTTCCTTCAGTTTTATCCTTATACAACTAGAAGTTAGACCTTTTCAGATGATTTTGTTCAATTTTTGTGTTTTCTAACAAGACAAAAAGTGCCACTCAGCTTTTAAAAGTACGCTTTCAGTTTCTCCAGGAGGCTGTTATCCTGAAGAGCAAACTGATCCTTTGAATCTGAGAAACATGAACACACACAAGCTCTAAACTTATTCTTCCACCTCACTTTATAGCTATTTATGGAAGACCAAAACCACAGTTTGCATTTTGTTTTTGTTTTTGTTTTTTGTTTTTCGAGACAGGGTTTCACTGTGTAGCTTTGCGCCTTTCCTGGAACTCACTTGGTAGCCCAGGCTGGCCTCGAACTCACAGAGATCCACCTGGCTCTGCCTCCCGAGTGCTGGGATTAAAGGCGTGCGCCACCACCGCCCGGCTTGCATTATTTTTATGGATGAAACCATAGATTTAAATTGTTGCATCTTGAAAAAAATGTCTAATTAACATTTATAATAAAATAAAAAACTAGGCAAAATCAAGATTTATATAGTGCCCCATCCAATATTCCAAGATTAGCTTTAATGTAGTTTTAGTAATTTTGTAAAAAAGGATGAATCTATGATAGCATTACTAATGCAACCTAGCATGCAAACCATGTACATTATCCAAATAAAAAGGCAACTATTTGATATTTCAATTGCTGAATTAATTATAATGATTCTCTACTGCATACAATTTGGCAATTTTAACTTTTTGTTTTGTTAACTGAATACATCAACTTTCACCACTGTTCACCTTAACTAGAAACCTCTATGACTTACTTTCCTTTGATGGGAGAGTATTTTTTTCTTCAGTATTAGTTTTCTTCAGTCTTGTTCTGTCAAATCTTTCCACTTCTGACAAGTCTAGTTTATCACTCATTTGACTAAAAGAAAGACCAACAACAAAAAAGTTACCTACTAGATCTATGATCAGATTAGGAATAATGGTTAAAAATTCATAAAAATTCAAAATATCAATGAATATTTTGCATGGTGATTTTCAATAAGAGAACAACAGATCTTAGAAAGTCATGTTTTCTTAGAGTACTCTGATTGCAAAGCATTGGCCCATTTCTGGTGGCATTAAATGACAGCAGATGAAGATGATCTAGAAACCAAGATTCTCTAGAAACCCAGGGCAATAAGTAAGTTAGTAAGTAAATAAATAAATAAAAGCCCAACTTTTAAAATCCTAGCAAAGGTAAAACAGAAGTGATGAGCATTGGCAGATAGAGAGAGAAGAGCAAATAAAGGGTTAGATTCGACTAGCAATGGTTTTGTAACAGAAGACAGGACTATCTGAGCATCTTCACCTTCTAGTCAATTCCTTTTAGGGTATTTGGGAATGCTGGTGAGCATCACACACTAAAAGAGTGGCACACAGTGCTGTACAAATTTCCATTGAATGTCCAAAGTCAGTATATTAGAACACTACAGTAGGAGTGAGGAGGATTTAACCTAGTCACTGTCAATTACAAGTCTCATAATACCTTCTTATAGCCTTAGGGAATGTGTAAAAGAAAAAGAAAGAAAAAATCCAGCTATTTCGGATCAAGACTCCAAAACTTTAGTAGAATGTGGACCGCCAAATACAGCTGAATCCCATTTTCAAAGATAAGAAGGCAGAGCTCTTCAGTGAGTGCCTCGACCTATCTTAGCGGGAGTAGGACACAATGTAGTGACCAGGGCAGTCCAGAGAGCTCTCTACCCCACCCAGCCCCAGCTCCGAAGCTTCCATGTGTCTCAAACCACCCGGTTCAATCGATCGTATCTTAAGGTCCTTCCTTACTGGGTGAACAGTGCCAAGGTAAAAGTTGGGGAAACTGGGATTCACATGTTTTTAACTGCAGGGCAGGGCAGAGGCATTTGTCTGGATTGTGCCATATACAAATAACTTACCACTGCCCAGCGCCAGCCTAAGGGACAGAAGGGCAAGAGCCACCTTAGAAGGCCATACCCCCACCCCCATGCACACATGCCTCAACTCTCCTCCTGGCCTTTGCCCTTTCCTCTGAGTTGCCTGTCCGTTTGGGCCTTCTTAGGTGGGACCCCAGGATACCGCTCTGTGTGCTGAAAAGACCTCAATGCAAGAAACAAAGCCGCTGTGAAGTGGACTTTGAGATGGGATTCCACTCCAAAGTGCTACCCGGCTGTGCTGCACCAGCTAGCCTCATCTCCCCCGCCCCCTCACCTGTTCACTTCAAGGTGCCTGTTAAATGAATAGCTGAGTCTACCTCTAGCTTGCAGGCCAGAGTGGTGCTGCCCAGCACAGCTTCTCATTTATAAGCTCCATAGCAAGGCCTGCCCTGGGCCCCACCCATCACTCTGTGATTGGATAGATGACCATAACATCATACCCCAGTCACACACAAGTCTCTCTGATTGGATGGCAGCCCTGGCTTGCAGCACCCCCTCCCCAGCTTTAAGCTTCGTGGGTGCTGGAGTTTGTTCAATTTTAGGACCTCTGTGCTTATAAATGTAAATATTTAGACTGTATGTAGCTGTAAGTTTTCCTGTGTCCTGCCCGTTCTGCTGGGACAAGTAAACACACAGAGGCTTATATTACTTACAAACTGTATGGCTGATTGGCTGAGGATTCTCACTAGCTGGCTCCTATAACTTAACCCATTTCTACTAATCTATAAGTTGCTACGTGGTCATGGCTTACCTGTACTTTCACATCACGCTTCTCCTGGTGAAGGCTGGCATCACTCCTACCTCTCCTTTCTTCTTTCCTATATCCCTTGGATCTTTCTACCTGGCTCCATCCTGCTCTGCCATAGGCTATTGCAGCTTTATTTATCAACCAGTCAGAGCAACACATACTCACAGCATACAGAAAGACAGACATCCTACAGCACTTCTCCTTTTCTGTCTAATCAAAAAGGAAGGTTTTTAACTTTAACTTAGTAAAATTACATATAATAGAACAAACAAGAATTACAGTTACAGTATCTAGTCTATTTGTATTTGGCAAAATTAAAGAAAATACTCTATCATCTATTCTATATTTATGAGTCTAAAGTTTCATAACTAATTTATCTTTTATCATAACCAAGGAAAATTATATCTATTTAGTCTTCAACTACATCAGAGACCACAGAAGGATATATATAATATTACCTAAGTAAACAGGAAGAGCATTATAAGCAAATTCCAAAATTCTGGAAATGACAGAGAAAGCTGCTTTCCTAGACAGTCATCCAAAGTTCCTCTGCAATGTTGGGGCATCCATCTTCAGCCCACAGGCCTAGTCTCTTAGTCACTTTTTCCTGTGTCCTGTAGAATGTCTGGCAGTCTCCTCTGTGAAGCAGGAACCTGAAGGACCATCTCAACTTGTTTTGGCAAATTCAGTAGTCATTTTCCTATGGGTCCTGTATGTTCACTTTCTACAACATTATCAGCAGTCCAGGCAAGAGCAGTTTCTTGCCCAAATGGCTATTTTTGCCAAAAAGAAGATAAACTCCATATAGAGTGTTTTCGAAGCCCATCTTTCTCTTTGAAGTAAATCGGTGCTGCCAGAAGCAGATGTGTCTCATTGTCCAGAAAGTCTAAGTTTTTAAAATGTTTTAAATGCTATATTCTGTAGGTCTTTGAAGTGTTTGAAGATTACCTACCTAATTGAAATATATCTATGTATATCTAGAAAACTTAACCTAACATGACTGTAAGTTTGACTATCATAGAAGACTAACTATTAATCAGTATTTCTTAATTATCCATTACAATTTAAATGAGTTACATAAACATAATACCTTTAACGAGAGTAGAAATATATACACAGTACAACAAAATTAACTTTAAATTTGTAATGAACTAAAATCTACAGCAATGTAAAACATTTTAAACAAGTTGCTGCTCTTTAAAAGTAGGTTTGATAATCTACCCTTTTATCCTATCATATCTATATTATCCCTTTTTCTTTTTTAGAAAGAGATTGTGTTTATAATCAACCCCCTTTAAATAAAAATAAACATTTATAAACAATATTTTAGGAATTTGGGCATAGCTTCTCACACTACATCCTGCTGGATGGGGGTGCTGACAATCTTATGGGGATCCTGAGAAAATTAAGAATTATGGTCAGGTCCTGACTAGAATAGTCTGTGAGGCTGCATTGTCTGATCCAGTAGCCTTGAAGCTGTTCTGGATATTGGATCATATTGGTCATGGTGTCATTGGAGACCTTTCAGGGGGTCTTGGTTGATCAAACCAAATGAGCCTGGAAGCAATCCATAGGTTCTCATCTTCTGTGGAAACAAAAGCAGAACCTCTTTTCCAAAGCAATGTATCCTTAGACATAAATTTTGAAATCAAGATACCTTTAAAATATATGTATTGGTTTAACTCAGCAGCCTTTATAATCAAATGTCTCTCTCCAGTTAAAAATCCCAAAAACAACACAATCTAGACTCTGAGTAATTTCCATCTTTATGTGACTTTTTTTTTTTTTTTTTTTTTTTTTTTTTTTTTTTTTTTTTGGTTTTTCGAGGCAGGGTTTCTCTGTATAGCTTTGTGCCTCTCCTGGAACTCACTTGGTAGCCCAGGCTGGCCTCGAACTCACAGAGATCCGCCTGGCTCTGCCTCCCGAGTGCTGGGATTAAAGGCGTGCGCCACCACCGCCCGGCGTGACTTATTTTTTATATATTACTTTTACTGTCTCTTTAAAGACTTTATTTTTGAAACTATTTCTTTATATAACTGCATATATTCCTTTTCCTCTCTCTTCCAAGCCTATGTACATTTTTACATATAATATAAACCATTTAGGGTTTTATTTCATCTGAATCTGACTTATTGTGAATCTTTAATCCTTCTCTGACCAGGAGAGACATTAAACTGCTAAAATGTGTGGCCAGGATGAAAAGCTGCAGCCTTGGCTGCTGACTCTGCCCATTTCAGCTTTTCAACATGGCAGAGGTAATTCACCTCCAGCTCTGGGAGCCATGCTCTCCATTGACTCTGGGAAGGAGTGGGTCTATGACTCCATCCAGCAGTGTATAGCCCAGAAACCATTTTTTTTTTTGTAGTAGCAAAAGCTAAATCCACAATGCAGTGCAGCATATTGCGCGGCTTGGAGACGCCTCTGTGTACCATGGTGGGAATCTGTCATGTTGCAGATCAAGCCTGCACCCTGTGAACATGCCATAGTGTAGCTCAAGCCGGCAGGCTGTGGCTGGCCTGAGAGACACATTAGGAAGCTGTTTTTAGCTCCATTTTAGAATAATTTTTAAGTTCTCTCAAGCCTTAGGTGGAAAATCGAGCCAACACATTGGGCAGCCAAATGTAGCCATAAATTTTCTCTGGCCAAATGTAGTCAAAAGTTTTCCTGTGTCCTGCCTGGCCCCACATGATCCAGACAAAACTCTCTCACCTGCAGTCCTGCAGCTGCTTGTAAAATAATCATTCAGAGGCTTAATATTAATTGCAAATTATATGGCCTATGGCTCAAGCTTCTTGTTAGCTATCTCTTATATCTTAAATTAACCTATTTCTATTAATCTATTAGTTGCCATGTGTTCTGTGGCTTACCAGTCTGCTGGCATGTTGTTCCTCTGACAGCAGCTGGCATGTCTCCCTGCCTTCTTCCTGTCTCTCTGCTTAGATTTCCCACCTGCCTTTAAGCTGCCTTGCCATAGGCCAAATGACTTTATTTATCAACCAATCAGAGCAGCATGTATTCACAGCATACAGAAAGATATCCCACAACAACTGCATTTGATAATAAGAACAAAGTCTTTATGATAGTCTCTGCCTCTTTGTATAACAGTTGGAAATAATTACCATCTAAAAAGACAAATATTTTAACCAGGCACAGGTGGATCTCTGAGAGAGTCCAGCCTGCTGTCTACATAGTGAGTTCCAGGACAGCCAGAGCTA